GTATTAATCTGGGGTGCACTTTAGCTTATAGAAATATGGGAAAAAAGTTGCCGTTATTTGTTTTTTTTCAGTGTTGCTGCTATTAAAATTATTATTGTTATTATTTTTGTTGTATTTGTTGTTATTATTGTTGTTGTTGTTGCTGCTGTTGTTTAGTTTCGATTCGTATTTTAGTCAATAAATAGAATTTATTAACCAAAAGAATTAGTGGGAGGAGCTTCTTATAATTTGAAAGAAAGCATTAATTGATGATATTGTGTTTAAACTGTGACTGAGTGTTTTATCAATCAGTTAATGAATCATTGAACCAGTCAGGTCACTCGATCATTCACAACTTATCACCCAAACAATTGAGCAATCAAACGATGAATCAAACTGATAACCAAACCAGCAATCAATCTACCAATCTATCAATCAATTATTTAAATAATCAATCAACAATCACTCAACAGCCAGCCTACCATTCAATTGGCCAACCATTCAACAAGTGCCAAATTAAAAACCAGCGAAAAACTTAACAATTAATCGATCAACCACTTAACCAAACAATTACTCTGTCAATCAACCAATCAGTCAACAAACAAACCAATCAACTAATCAATCAACCAATCAATCAATAAACCAATCAACCACCTAACCATTCAATCATTCAACCAACCAACCAACCGACAAACAGTTCAGTGGGGATAACGGCAACCAGATGGTCCAGGTTTACAGTGATTTTTGTTCGAAGCACTCGGAGGCAGTCCACATCTACAAGGAAGTTCTGAAAAATGATGCTAACGCGCAGAAGTTCTTTAAAGTAAGTTTCTGTCTGTCAATCTGTCTGTCTGTCTGTCTGTTTTTTGTCTGTCTGTTCTTCTGTATGTAAGTATGTATATAAGTCTGTTTGTTTTTTGTTTGTTGCTCTGTATAATTTGTCTGTCTGTTTGTTTGTCTGTCTGTTTGTTTGTCTAAGGTAGTGAATTAATGTGTCGAGGAATAGATGGATAAATAAAATAATAGATACCAATAAACTAAAAAATTGATTGATAGATAGATGGATGGATAGACGATGGTTGGATGGATAGATGGATGGATAGATTGATGGAGAGACAGAGAGGAGGAGTTAATGGATAGACTCGCTGATTGATGGTTAATTTATTGATAAGCAGGCTCACAAACTATATGATGGATGAGTTGACTAAATAACATGAAGATGTGTTGATGAATGTCTGACGATTTATTTGTTGTGTTGTTGGAACAACTGCAAACAAACCATCCCTACAAAGTTCATCAAACGGAAATGACGTCAGTAAAAAAAATTACACTAATTCAGTTGGGTCTTCGAAACAACAACCAACGTTTTAACAATAGCATCAACGAAATTTACTATCACAGCAAAAATAACATTAACAATAACAACAACAAAACCATCAAATAGAAAAGCAACACAAAACATTTGCTAGAAAATACATTAACATTATTATTATTCTTATAGATTTTTTTGTTATAGTTGTAACAACGACAACAACCGCATAAACGTAAACAAAAATGCATTCATTATAGCAACAGCAACAACAACAACAACCACAACAACAACAACAACAACAACAGCCACAACAACAACCACAACGTCAACCACAACGTCAACCACAACATAAACATCAACAACAACAACATTCAAAACAGCGGTGTAACAGCAATCCACTATGCAAGAGATTAACAATTCCGGAATGTGTCCTCTTGGTAGCTCAGCGTCCCACTAAATATCCCCTACTGATCGAGCCAATCCTTGAAATGGCTCCACGTACGTCTTGTTTTTCTGTTGTTTTTTTTCTGTTGTTTTGTTTGTTTTGTTGCTTTGTTTGTTTTGTGTCATGTTTGTTTTGTTTGTTTAGTTTTTGTATCGTTTTTTTAATATGTTTTAATTAAATAACCCAAATTTTTTTTGACAAATAATAACAGTTATACAATTTATTAAGTTTAAATTTCTACCACGAACCTATTATACCAGCTGGTAGCGAAGAACGTCGATCACTGCAAGAATGTTTGTCACTCTGCAGAAATGTACTGGACAATATCAATCGGTCAGTTGACCTGAAGTCTCGCCGAAACAAGTTGATCGAGATATTCGCTAGAGTCGAAGCCAAATCCATGCTTACTATATATAATGAAGTTTCAAAGGTTTGCTTGTGTGTGTATGTGTGTTTGTTTGTGTTTGTGTGGTGTGTGTGTGTGTGTGTGGTATGTGTGTGTGTAACGAAAAATATGTATGAAATAATTTTTGTATGTGTAAAATGTCGTTTTATGTTCCCTATGTTTGTTCGCGTTACTGTACAGCGATGTGCATCTAAGAGGAAGATTTTTTTTCACTGGTAGCTTTCGTTGGTTTTATTTACTTTCACTTGAATGCAATTATAATGACAATGACGACAACGAAGTTGTTGAATGAGTTACGTAAAGATGAAAAATTACGATGATAAACAAAAGAACAACAATAACAATGCAACCACCAGAAAAATAACAATAATAATTACAACAACAACAACAATAATAGCAACAGTATCAGCAATAAATATCGACTAAGACGTAGAATTATAACTGGTGGCGTGCATTTATTTTATTGATGATTAATTACATTGTGCATACCATCGTGCCAGAAATTATCAATGTCAGACAAGGAAGACTCCAGATTGTACGTATATGATGGCAATGTGAAGGTGGTCTGCAACAAAACAAAAACCGCTGGTCAGCCATTTACTTTTTTTCTCACTCACTCACTCACTCACTCACTCACTCACTCACTCACTCATTCATTCACTCTTTCATTCATTCACTCATTCATTCATCTTTATCATTTTTGTCTTCATCATCTTGTTTGTTATTGCCTTCATCATTGTCATATTCTTCTACATCTTCATCAATGTAAGCATCATCTCTATAGCCTTATTACAACTGCTACCCATTTTTGATGATGGATAATCATATCATCATCATCATAGTCATCTACTTCATCATCCTACAATCATCTTGATAATTTTATCGTCGTCATCATCATCGTCATCCTCTTCATCATTCTAAAATCCTCTTCATAATTTCATCATCGTCGTCATCGTCATCCTCTTCATCATTCTACAATCATCTTCATAATTTCCTCATCGTCGTCATCATTGTCATCTTCTTCATCATTCTACAATCATCTTCATAATTTCATCATCATCGTCGTCATCGTAGACGTGTATGCCGTCCTTACGAATGATATCCTTTTTCTGTTCTTGGACATGGGACAAAAATTGATGCTCTTTGCCTTGGAATCGAAGGTAGTTTTTGTTTTTCTTATAATTATTGTTTTTTTTTTGTTACATTATTATCTTTATTATTATTTCTTACGTGAATACACGCATTGCACACGCACGCATACGCACGCGCACGCACACAATGCGTGCAATAGACGGGGATCTTTTTGCGTTCGAATTTGGTGGCTGTAACAGCAGGACCAGGCGCCTTAACCACTACACCATATCACCGCTATTTACAACATCAATTTAGCTACTGACCAATAACCAACCAATCAAACGACCAACCATTCAAACAATTTTCTAACAGTTAAACGCGGTAATCAGCCTGAAGAACATATACCTGCGTGAAAAAAATGACTCGAGAGATGGCAAGGGTCTCTACCTGCTCAGCAACTCTCCTAATCCTGAAATGTGGGCCCTGTTGTTCAAATCATCGGAGGAAAGATCGAAGTGGATGAACTTGCTAAGAGATGCAATCCAGCAGGCCTCCAACAATTTCGTTTCGAAAAACTTCAACAACGTTTCTCATGTTTCGACAGCTGTTGTCGTGGGAGGAAATAATTGTAGCGGCGGTAGCAGTGGTGTGGCTTGCAGTAGTGGCAATGTTTGTGGTGGTGGTGGTGAAGAGCGTGGCAACCAGGTTTCAGTGGAGGCTATGTTAGGTTGGTTGGATGGTTTTACAGCCACCAATCTGTGTCACTTTAAAAAATTGTTTTTGTTTGTTTTCGTATGTTTGAACCTCTAATTACGTCTTCGAAACGAGTACAAATGTTTTTGTTGGATTTTTGTGATGTCATTTCAACACTGCTAACTCCGATTCGTAAAGAGTGGTTATTCTTAATTAACCGATGAAATGTTGAACTCTGAAAAACAATGACTAATTATTTAATTAATTATTCTTTCCCAGAAAAACTGAAGCAGAAAGACATGGAAATAAGCCACCTGTTGAAAGAAAAGTTGCAAATATCAAAGGACATCATCGCTTGCATGTCGGGAAAAAAATATCAAAAGAATGTTAAGGAGGTTTGTTAGAATTGGGTGAATAATAATTACAAGAAAAAATTAATATGGAATTAGTAACTTGCTGATTGAATAGTTTGTTTTTTCCTTCATCATTGTTGTTTTTCATCGTGCTAATTTTTCCACACCTACTGAGTAACGATCTAACGTTTGTGCCACAAAGTTCGAAACGCCCACACACAATAAGAGCCACGCATATGCGCTTGAGTTGTAAGGGGATAGTCTTCAAGTTTCCAGAAAAATGCATTTCAATTGTGTCTCATTTATTGTCTGAGTTATCTTCACAGTTGCCTGAATGCTCTATGCTTGACTGATTTGTTGCTAGCTTGATTTATAATGTTAAAAAACAATGTATCTTGATTTGATTCTAGATATAAATAGCCAGATTTATCTTTTTTATTCGCAGATTAATTGCATGTCTCAAGTTCATGACCACAGTTCGACGAACATCCTTCATGAGTGCTTAAATTCCATAGTGACGGAAGGTAGTTTCTTAACTTTTTTTCTCTATTAATCAATTACTCAATAAATTATTCAATCATTTAATTATTCAACCAATCAACGACCTGACCAATCAACCAATCAAAGACCTAACCAATCAACCAATCAACGACCTAACCAATCAACCAATCAACCAATCAACGACCTAACCAATCAACCAATCATCGATCAGGCACGAGACTTCTCCATCTCTCCTCCATGACGCCGAACTCTACGGAGAGCATAGATTCATTCCTGTCACGTGATCTCGATGAACTTGACGCCACTGCCAACAACAACAACAACAATAACAACACCAATGACAGCAACAATATTGGCAACAACAACAACGCAAATAATTTGTTGCCGAAAAGAGCAGAAACTTTCGCTGGTTTCGACTGTAAGAAGCCTTCTGTTGAAGGTTTGTGCTGCTTGTATCTAATTTGTATTTTGGGGCGGCTAGATAGCGTAATGGTTAAAGGTGCTTGATCCTGTTTTGCAGTCACCTAGTTCAAACGCCAAATGATCCCCGCTGTATGTTTGATACATGATTTTCAGATGTTTTACGTAAGGTCTGAGCACATGTTGTTGAAGTGAATGTAATAAGAGGAAATGACTTTTAACTTTTTAGTATTTTATATTTAATAAAAATTTTTATAATTTTTATAAATTTTTTTAAAATAATAATTTTTATAAATTTTTTAAATAATTTTCACTAGTTGTAGTAATTATGAAAAAATATCTGTATATACTGTGATTATAATCGCATATTATACATCCTCACCAAAATCAGGTCAAGTCATCACTCGACCTACATCTGCAACCCTCTCCAAAAAGATGATGGCTCCTAACAACAACAACGGACCAATAAACGAGGCCAGCAACAACAACGACCATGACGTCAACGCAACTTCATCGATGACATCACTCACGTCGGCCATGCGTAGTTCAACGACCTCTGGAGTTCAAAGTTCAACCCACGAAGGTCACCGAGTGACATTTCAAGGACATCCTGCCCTGGACGATGACCAATGTTTGTGCGTGGCCAGGATTTTGACGTCTGCCCAGTTTATTTCCGTTCGTGTTTTGTTCTGACATGTCATTAACATCATTTCGTATCTTCCAGACAGACCATTCATTATTTTATATGGAAAGTTAGAAATTATTTAAATTGCGTCTCACAGAGCTGTTAACACGTGTTGAATGTCTTGCTAGAATAGTGTGGTCTGCTGATATTTATAAATATTATATTATTAAATCACAGGTTATATATATTTTAATTTATTCATCTATTTATTCATTTTTTTTCAGGCACATGCTGTCTGTCAGGCCACTGAAATATTAAGGTTATAAATGAGTATATTTTAAAATAAAAATTTGTATTCATGGTTTTTGATAACCAAAAATTAGAGCAAGCCAAAAAAAATGGATGGTCAATTTTTGAATTCAAATTTATTGAAATATTTAATTTATCAATAGATTGAAGAATGAGTTGGCTTGTAGTGGACATTTTTCAAATACGGCAACGAACTACTCAACATCGTCATCATCGTTACCATCTGCTGCTTTTGTGTCATCTTCATCCTCCTCAGTGTCTTCATCATCGTTTTCTTCGTCATCTTCACTCACATCGTTGGCGTCACTGAAGTCAAGTATGACGACGACAACAACGACGTTATCGTCATCGTCGTCGTTGTTGTTGTATGCGTCTACAACAATAGACACAGCAACAACAACTGCAACGACAACCACAACATCAACTCACCTTTCAAACGAAACATCAACATTAGTTTCACCAACAACAATAACATCACTAACAACAACAACAACATCACAATTAACAACAACAACATCACTAACAACAACAACATCACTAACAACAACATCAGTATCGACGATGACGTCACCGACGACATCAACCCCCAACAGCAAAAACATCAAAAGACCGACTTTTCTATCTTTGGATCCATTCTTGAAGCCAGTTACGTTGAAAAAACTTCATCTTTGTTCACCACTTGGCAACATCAAACTCACAAACAACAACAACAACAACAACAACATCATCATCAACAACAACAACAACAACAACAATAATAATAATAATAATAATGTTATAGACACTAACTTAATTAATGACAACAACATTGCTAACAATATAACAGTTGACAACAACATCAACCCAAACAACATCAGCAACGACTTTTTTACTGCCGGCATTAATAATAATTTAACATCAACACCTATTGAAAATAAAACATTAAAAACAATTATTACATCAACGACAACAACAACAACAGTAACACTAACAACAACTAATACTTTTACTACTACATCATCATCAACAACAACAACAACGACATACTGCATGCCACAAATTCTAACAACAGCTATTTCTTCAACAAAAATTGACAGTTCATTTGCATCCACATCATCATTATCAACAACGTTATCATCATCTTCTTCATCATCAGCAGCATCAGCAGCAGCAACAGTAGCTACAACAGCGTTACTATCATCGATTCCATCCCACTGCCAATGCAAAAGCAGTAGCTACAGAAACGTTGCTGACACCAGCTGCGGTGGTTTTGGTTCTAATTTTAGCAGCTTTGAGTTTTTCCAAAGGTCAAACAGTTTTACATCGGTTGACGAGCCAAAAAAATTTCCAAAACTTTTAAAAACGAAATCAAAGGCTACCCACAATTTATCATTTAAAGAGAACGACGACGACGACGATGATGACGTTGTTATTGTAGATGTTGATGATGATGGTGACGATGACGACGATGAAGTTGCTGCTGCTGCTGTTTGCGAAGACGACAACGATGTCATTCTATGTGAAAGAATCGTCGATGATGACATTAAGGATGATGCAAGCAACGACATTGACAAAAAAATTAATAAAAGCAGCAACTACAACAATAATAATAACACTAATAACAACAGCAACATCCAAATCACTAATCAAAATATCGACAACAATATCCTAAACATCAACAACGACATCCAAGTTACTGGCAACGACAACAGTGAAAATATTTCTATATCACATTCACCATTGGAAATTGTAATGAAAGACGACGACGATGATTATGACGTAGTTGAAAATAAAAATTGTGGAGTTATTAATAATATTAATAATAACAATAATAATGGTGGTGATGATGATGATGTAAAATTCTTGGGTGATAATCATCATGATGACGTCATAAATTTTATCGCTGTGGCAGGACCAATCAACAAAAGCGAGAAAAATATGACGTCAACATCAAATCAAAACAACAACAACACTATGAGCATCAACATACACACCAACGCTAACAACAACACAAACTACGAATTCAACAAAAACATTAGCAAGTTAATCGGCAATAGCAGCATCAGCAAGTCAAACGTGGAACTCTCAAAAAACATTAACAACAACAACAATAACAACAACAACAACAGCAACAGCAACAATTTTTACGAGAACAACAATATTACACCAACACTGAGTCAAAGTCACAACGAATTGATCTCAAGTAACAACAACAACAATAATAATAATAACAACAACAATAGTAATAATAATAACATCAACCATGACAGCAATAAAATAATTAACAATGTCTTTCAAAACATTAAAAATAGCAACAACAAACCCAACAACAACAACAACAATAATAATAACAACAACAACAACAATAATAACAATTATATCAACAAAAGTAGGAACGATTGCTGTAGCTGCAGCAGCAGTAGTGGTAGTAGATTCAATGGCGACACCCTACTCTCAGCCTCGTCGACATCATTGTCCATTTATTTCCATTAAATATTATTTTTATATTTTCATTCTTATTTTATTCTTCTTCTTATTATTTTTATTATTCTATTTTTTCTTCGAAATTTTGAACAACTCTCAATAATATAATATAATATCCTTGATAAAAATATAAACAAACGTAGTCACACACACACATACACACGCACGCACGTACACACACATACACAGAGACCTACACACACACAAAGAGAGACACACATAAAAACACATTGACACATATATATTATTTTATTGTAAATATCTATATCTGTGTGTATATTCATTCATGGCTAAGTATTTACGTTTCTTGTTTATCGATGCTTTCGGTAGCGAAGCAGAACTCCACCTCTTTGACTTTGTATATTTTTTTCAGAAATATATGTCACTATTTGACAATTTTGAACGAAATTTATTTGATTATTTATTTATTTGTTTGTTTGTTTGTTTAAATATTCGCGAATATTATTATTGTAATCCGTTATATTGTTTCGTTAAGTTGTTAATATTAGCGTGAACAAACTTAACAAAATTTTTTTTTTCGCATTCGAGTTCATACACATCGAACAGGAAAAATGACAAAGCCGTATAAATGACTGGTGACTCCAATTTATTCATTCATTCGTTCGTTCGTTCATTCATTCATTCATTCACACATTCATCCGTTTGTTCGTTTGTTCATTTGTTCGTTCGTTCATTTATTAGTTAGTTTGATTGTCCCTTTGTTTATTCGTTTTCTAGCTTATTCATTCGTTCGTTTATTCATTTGTTCATACATCCATTCATTCGTTCAATCGTTCATTCATTCAATCATTTATTCATTCATCTATTCATTCACCAATTCACTCATTTGTTTGTTTTTTCAATTATATATAAAATATATAAATATAAATAAATATATATATATATATATATATATATATATATATATATTTTAAAGTGTTAAGCTTTACGTCGTGTTTTTTGTTGTAACGCACGGTATTCTTTTCAATGTAATTTTTTCCGCGTTTCGTTTTTGGCGCCAAATTTTATGGCTTATTTATTATTTTTCATCTCACCATCGCCATCCTCATCATATTATCATCACTATCATCTTATCAACATCATCATCTTATCATCACCGTCTCCAATTATCACAATTATCATTTCAGCGGGCTACAATCTTTCATCATCCGCTCATCCAATCTTCTCCCAACGCAATCATCTTTTTATCATCATTTTCATCGTTTCATAATAAATCACATTAACTTTTAGTAACAACATCATCATTCTCGTTATCATCACGTAATTATCATCATCATCAATCAATCGATCGATCGATCGATCAATCAATCAATCAATCAATCAATCAATCAATCAATCAATCAATCAATCAATCAATTAACCAATTAATCAATATCTATAAATCTATAAATCAAGCATTCATTATCATCAATCATTTAATTTTCAATGTTTATACAGAAAAAAACATATTTTTACAAATTTTTACTAATGTAATAAATGTTTTGTACTACGTCTATAGAAACAGGCACGTACACACCCACACACACATACAAAACACACACAGACACATACATACATATCTACACAGACACACACACACAATACATAGCTATGTAATACCGTACGATGGTATTTATCAATTATTACATTTGATACCATAAAAATTGTTACTTGTTAATAACATTATTAGTATCCTCATCATCACTTGATAGTATCATCATCATTTTAACTTGATAGTATCATTTAATGCTGTATACATGATACCAATATAACGCTATATATTAAGGATAATACTAATGCTACTTCATATGAAGTTAATTATATTGAATAATAATATACTACTACTCCTAGAAGGTACAAGTATATTTCATGATGCGTTCATTCTTTTGTTTATTCATTCATTCGATTATTGATTCGTTCATTCGTTCGTTCGTTCGTTCATTCGTTCGGTCGTTCGTTCGTTCGTTCGTTCGTTCGTTCGTTCATTCATTCATTCATTTATTCATTCATTTATTCATTCATTCATTCATTCATTCGTTCGTTCATTCATTCTTTCATTGATGATGTGAACGTCCATATTGACGTGAAGCCATTAGATTTTCAAGAATAAATTATGTTAATCATACGATTTTTTCTAACCATTCGATTCGATATTTCTTTGAAGAATGGCGGATATAAATAATTACATATTCATAATCCTATTGCCACTAATAGCGATGTAGATTTATTATTTATAAATACGAAGAAATAAATATTTAAACACAAAACACACACACGCACGCACACAAACACACACACACATATATATATATATATATATATATATTATTTCAACAATAAAACAGATTTGTTGTTTATTGGTCGTAAATTTTAAATTCCTAAAATTTAATGCTTGAGAAAAAATCAATGTGTATATGCGTGTGTATGTGTGTACGTGTGTATGTGAGTGAGCATGTAAGTGTGTTTACGCTTATATGTGCGTGCGTGTCTGTGTGCAAATGAGTGAGTATGTGAATAATGTGTGAATGTATGCGTGTGTGAATGTAGGTCTGTAGGTACGTATGTAAATTACGTATATTTATAGACCAAAGCAATGGTATTATAAACACCGCAATAATACTGTAGCGATCGCAGATACCACAGATTGTATCGGCAATAATTATTCGTATTGTCTTTGGCATCGGTGATACTTTTGATACCGAGTTTAGAACTTTGAGATGGCCGAAACTTTTTAGACAGAAAATAATTGATACTAGATTCTAATACTTTTGAGTTTCACGTAGAGATATTTTTATTAATGATCATTTCAAAATTTAGCGCGCTTCAAAATTCGGCACTAGACATAATAAATGTTCATTTTAACTTACTTCAAATTCAATGATTCAAACAGTATCGGTTTTGGTATCGGTTTCGGTATCGGTTTTGGTATCGGTTTTGTTACGTTTTAAAGCCGAAACAGTATTGCGATAAAGTTTTTCAGTATTGTTAACAATCCTGCTTCCATTTCAAATTTATCAGATTTGCCTTATTTAATACAAATGATATCTTCCCTCAATGCGAGTTCATTCCATTTTATTCTTCTTTATAATTCACACAAATGTGTTTTTCATATTCAAATTTCCATTCACTCTATCCAAACACATAAATAATGCCACTTCTATTACTACTAATACTACTATTTCTATTATAACTATTACAACAACAACAACAACTACTACTACTACTACTAACTACTAATACTACTATTACTACTACTACTACTACTACTACTACTACTACTACTACTACTACTACTACTACTGCTACTACTACTACTACTAATAATAATAATAATAATAACAATAGACCCTACTATGAGTTCTTAAGTGTACAACTTTGACGCGCAAACAAATTCTTTACACGTTAGTAATCAGTAATTAAGTAGTCACTACAAACATCCTCAATCTCGAGTCGTGAACATTGATCAACAATCAACATACGACTGACAATTACTTAAGTGGCACGCACACGCACGCACGCAAACGCACGCACACGTGTGTGTGTAAAAATATTGGTATATAAGTATACATTATACACACACACTGTAGCACAAATTCATAGGTTCAGGTTTGAAAAGTTATTCGAACTGACTTTTAATTTAACGAATTCTCATTTTGTTCTCTATCGAAGCTGATCAATCACTCGTCAAGTGGAAAAATTTATACCATATTTTTATAATTGCTTGTGTATGGATGTATGTGTGTGTACGTACGTTGTCCCAAGATACACTATGTACATTATAATCAATCAATTAGTCATTCAATTAATCAATCGATCAATCGATTGATTATCGATCAATCGATTGATTATCGATCAATCGATTGATTATCGATCAATCGATTGATTATCGATCAATCGATTGATTATCGATCAATCGATTGATTATCGATCAATCGATTGATTATCGATCAATCGATTGATTATCGATCAATCAATCAGCTTGTAAAGCACTATTTCCGCAATGTTCAACAGCGCTCCTCAATGAATTTTGCAAACAGATAGGTCTTGAGATCTGCTCTGAACCTCGTAAGTGATGGAGAAGTAGTCAGAGAAGTAGGTAGAGAGTTCCATAGAAAAAGGGCCAGAAAATGCAAATGCTGATTTGATAAAGGAGTGTTTAACACGAGTTAAGAAGAAGCGAGAACAAGAAGACGATCGTAAACCGGGGCGTTTAGGTTCAATTAATATATCTGATAAGTACTTAGGAAATAATTTAGATTTTGACTTATACATAAACGTGCAAATTTTGAAAATTATTCTTTATTTTATAGGTAGCCAGTGCAAGAGAACAAGATATGGAGATATATGAAAAGAGAAAGGGGCACGAGCAACTAAACGAGCAGCAGAGTTAAAAGCTTTACTTGAAAGATAGAGTATAGAATCAGGAAGACCATAGTAGGGCGAGTTACAATAATCAATCCTAGATAAGACTAACGAAGTAACAAGAAGGAGAAAAGTAGGATTGTCAAGAAAAGGCAAAAGTTTTTTTATTCTACGTAGATGAAAGTAAAAACTTCTAGCAAAACTATTAATCTGAGAAGAAAGAGACATACTAAAAGCAAAGATAAAACCTAGACTACGAAACTCGTGAGAAACATCAAAAGTTTTAGAATCAGGTAAGATAATAGGAGGAATAGTAATAGAGTGTTTAGATTTATTATAACAAACTAATTCAAATTTAGAAGGATTAAGTTTAACTCACATTGAGTCAGACCCAGCGATAATTGAAGAAAGACATAGAGATAGATTATGAAGAACACCATTTAGGTTAGATGGAGGAAAAAAAGAATAAATATAAGAATCATCAGCATATAGTTGACTAGATTACACTAAAAATATGTATGAACACAAGTGCATGCATGGCTAACAAGTGTATGATGAATGAGACTGAACATTCCACAAGTGTGTGTGTGTGTGGTGTGTGTGTGGTGTGAGTGTGTGGTGTGTGTGTGTGTGTGTGTGTGTGTGGTGTATTTGGTATCTGTGTGTGTGCGCGCGCGTGCTTGTGTTTGTATGTATGCGTGTGTAGTGCCTGAATGTGTACAGCGATCATAATAATTAAACAGGACAGAACTGGCTTTCATTCTTAAAATGTTTGTCATTTTTTGTTGTGCGGTTGATGTTGATGTTTTTACTGTTTGTTGCTAGTACATTCATTGCAGTTGTTGTTGTTGTTAGTGTTGTTAATGCTGATGTTGTCGTTATTATTGTTAGTGTTGCGATGTTGATGTTTTTGTTGTTTTGTTGTTTTCAGTGTTGATGTCTTTGATGACGGTATCATTGGTGTCATTTTTTATGATATGATACTCTGATATATGATACTCTCAATTATCAACAATGCACTACAATTGATTAGTTATCTTTATTTTATATCACAAAATGTGATAATAATATAAGTAATAAAAAACCGACGATAACAATTACGTTGTCGTAAAAATGATGATGATGGTGCGGATGATGATGATAAAGAAGAAGATGAAGATGGGGGTGAAGATGGGGAATTTTGATTGCAAAAAGATGACGTTTTCATTACAAAATGGCTCTGATACATATCTAAACCTGCTCGGTGTGTGTGTGTCTGTCTGTTTGTATATATATATGTGTGTGTGTTTGTGTGTGTGTGTGTGTGTGTGTGTGTGTGGTGTGTGTGTGTTTTAAACTGAATTTAATTGGTGAACAACGCATCTACATACATTAATATGTAAGCCTTAAGTTAATCAGACAGATTTACATGCACGTGCACATATACACGTACATACACACATACAAGTACATGTTGTTTGAGGTACTGTACACATAAATACTTGAAATATTTATTTGTACATATTTTTCATTTGATGTATTTTGTTTAAATTATAAGGTGTTGCCATACGCTCAACAGCCTTTTTTCTAAGAAAGAAATGTACGATATGAATAAACTACAGTTTGACGTGATGTTAGAAAAGTCTTGTTTGCAAAATCCCAATACTAAATGAATTCAACCAGGTTTTAACAAATAATAATAATAATAATTCTATACAGTAATTAATAAATAGATGAGAGGAAAAATTAAGAAAAGATAGATTGAAATTGAAGATACTGAAGGAAAGAGGATGAATGCCACTGCATGACTGAAAGTTTAGAAAAAACTTTAAAAAAATTAGTGACACATAGAAAATAGAGAGAAAAAGAGAAAAAATGAATAGAAAGAAAGAGAGAGAGAGAAATAAATAAAGAGAGAGAGAGAAATAAATAAAGAGAGAGAGAGAGAAAGAGAGAGAGAGAAAGAAAGAGAGAATGTCTGCACGATTAGAAAGAACAATCATCAATTCGTTTCCTCTCTGATACCAGAGGAAATTCTACAAATAGTCGCCATTCTCAAATAATCACCTGACATACGTCATCCATGACGTCACCGCGCTGTTTTTTAGAAACAGTTACGTAATTTGCACCTGTATTTATAATCTAGCGCTAGATAATTTTTGAGAAGCGTTTTCACCCTCTTAATACGTGACTAACTCTCTACAAATGTTCACCCACATATAGGTAGGTATAATGCAATCAATAGAAATGAATATATACACATACAAATTAAAACAAAAAAATACACACGGACACACACAGACACACACACACACACACACAGACATTTACACACGCAGCTACACACACACGCATTTTCACACTCCACTGTATATATATATATATATATATATATATATATATATATATTTCACTGTATATGTATATTTCACTGTATATATATATTTATATTACGAAAAAGAAGAGAATTAAGATTTAACGAATATTTATTACTTAATGTGTAAATCATTTGCAATAAAAATGAGTAAAAAAAATTTAATTACAACTTTAGTCTATTTCCGGTGACAGTGATAAAGTTGATGATGACGGAGATGATGACGATGATAACGATGATTATGATGCATATTTTCAAAACAAAAACAAAAAATGAAAATAATGAAATAAATAAGCAGTCATTAAAATGAAATAATATGTAACAGTTGCTGATAGCAAAATTACTCCTCTGACAGAATTTAAAAAAGTTCATTCAATATAATTATTAATATTATTATTATTGCTATTATTATTTGTCATTATTATTATCATTAATATTATTATTATTATTGTTGTTGTTCCAATTATTATTATTCTTATTATTATTGTTATTACTGTGAAATTTCATTGTTTGATTGTGATTCATCCTACAAGCTACGTCCTACATCTGTGATCAGCCGCGGTGTAACACACACACACACACACACACACACACACACACACACACACACACACGTACATACAAACATACATACATACATACATACATAAAAAACACAAACATACAGACATACATGCATACTTAAAAAACACAAGCATACAGACACACACACAATCTTCAATATACATTATACATGATATCAAATACTAGTATTTGAGTCAATAAGTGTTTAATAAAACTTATATTGATGACATATATGGTTTTTATGTATTAGTATATGTTATATAAATGTGCGTGTATATATATATATATATATGTGTGTGTGTGTGTGTGTGTGTGTGTGTGTACGTATCTTGTATGTATTTATGTAATATGTATTGTATTTTGTATGTGTGTATTTATGTAAACATGTGTATTATATACCGATACACATTTCTTATAAAAGAAGTGTATTGCATGCATTAGGAATAAGGATTACTTATAATTCATTTATACATGCCTACTATTTAATGTGCATCCATCGTTTGGTTGGTTTTGTTGGCGAATGTGTGTGCTTGGGTATTGTACTGCTAGTGCGTTCTGTATTGTATTGCTAACGTGTTATTTATAATACTCATTTTGATACTTCACTACTGTTGTACTGTTACTACTACTACTACTACTACTACTACGACTACTACTACTACGACTACTACTACTACTACAGTCGTTGAATGTTCTTTGCAACGCTATAAAAGGTTTTGTTGTCTGCTGTTGTATATTTAAATTTATATATTTGTCATTCAATTTATCAGTTGAGTGCTTTATAATTGTTTTGTGTTAGTTGATATAAATAAATAAATATTATAAAGTTTTATTTGGTCAAGTTAGTTAATGTTTTCTTTTTTAATATATGTTACTGATTGATTTGGCGAGGGTGCTTAAACTGAATTTAATTGTCTTATTTAATTTAGTTAGTTAATCAATCAATTCATCCATTCATTCTCAATTTAATTTTGTATAATTTATTAGTTGTTAGTTTTTTTATTGAGTTCAGTTGATTTTCAAGTTCCTTCAATACCGACAAATATTTTAACAAATTTATTTTTTACAACCATAATTAATGACAATGACACACACTCACGCACGCACGCACACACACACACACACACACACACACACACACACACACACACACACACACACTCACGCACACACACACACACACACTCACACACACACACTTGTATTAGTGATTACATAGCTTGCGAAACTATGTACTAGAATAGATGAGTATTAAACTATACACACCCCAACCGACGCAAAATGTGTGTGCGTGTGTGTGTGGGATATAGTTATAGAAATTATGAATAAACGAATAAGGACTAACGCAAGAATATTGATTAATGTTATTTTCTCAAAACAAGGCAGATACAAAAAGACACAGACGTTACGAGACACGATATATAAATCTTGAAGATTTCAGTTGATATTTCAATACAGCTTCAGCTTTAGAATCAAAGACCTAAATTAAAAGCAGACTACAACTAACGACAACAAGCGCCACAAACGTCGCTACAACTACTTCTACTACAAGCACCACAAAACTACACAATCCTCAGTACATCAACTCGAAAGCAGTTACAACAACAACAGCGTTTTTTACTACATTTCAAAATCTCGACACCCACTACCAACAGCAACAATTGAAGTAAGACGAAGATGTCGGGTTCAAACGCAATGACACTCCTGAAAAACAGGATGCAGTCGATGAAAGATGAGGCGGAGAAGTTCAAGGACATGTACGAGGAAAAGTGTAGAGATCTGGAAGAGGAGAAAAATAAAAAAGAAGCCGTTAGTTGATTGGTTGTTTCATTTTTTAATCATGTAAGAATGATTCCGATTGGTTTAGTATCATGTAAATGATTTTTAATGGTTAGTGAAATGTATGGTGCGGTTGTTCTCAAATGTTTGGTGAGATTCGTTTGGTTAGAAATGTGTGGTAGGTTCTAACTGTAAAAAAGTATTGATTGTCTGCATTTTAGATTTAGTGACGACACCAACCAAAGTTTCATCATATGGAAACATCAATCTATCATGGAACGACAAACTAATCAATCATTCGATCAATCGGTCAATCAATCACTCTTTAAATCAATCAACCAACTAATCAACCAATCAATCAACCAACTCATCAATCAAACAACCTTTCAATCAGGCCGACCAAGAAATAGAACACCTACAGAGGAGGTTGAGGTTATTGGAGGATGAGAATGAGATGAATTCAACCAAGTGGCAGGAGACTCAGTCGAAATTGAACTCCCTCAATCATATTGCCGATGAACATGATAGGTCGGCTTGTTTGTTCATTCGTTCGTTCGTTTGTTTGTTTGTTCGTTCGTTTGTTTGTTCATTTGTTTGTTTGTTCGTTCGTTTGTTCGTTCGTTTGTTTGTTGTAGTGGATTGTTGTGCACTGTTACAACGGTTTGACGCTGTTGTCATTCTTCAAATCTTACATTCATCTGTTTGATGACATACGTGCAATATCTGTTAATTACCGTAGCTCAAATAAATGGATAAATCAATTAATCAATCAATCAATCAATCAGTTAATCAATCAATCTATCTATCTATCAAGCAAAAGTTCAATGGATGAATGAACGAATGATTGAACGAATAAACACACGTACGAACGAACAAACAAATGCATGGGTAAATAAAACAAATTATTACAAAAGGACAAAGAGGGTCTTTGATAATCAGCAGAACATTCTGGAAGATAGGCTGAACGAACTCGAGATGAAATTGAAAGAATGCAAAGAATCTGAAAGAGAAGCTGAATCAAAATATACTGAGGTGATGATGATGATCTGGATGATGATAATGATGATGATGATGTATTAGGGATGAAGACAGTAATGGTAGTGATAATGACAAAGATAATTATGATACTGATGTGATTATGATACTGAAGTGATTATGATACTGATGTGATTATGATACTGATGTGGTTATGATACTGATGGGAATGATAATGGTAGTGATAATGGCAAAAAGAATTATGATACTGTTATAATGATGATGATAATGATGACGACGACGACGATGATTATGCCAATGATAACACAAAATATAATTGGAAATTTTAACAATTACATTAACTAAGATGACGTATTTGATGATGATGCTAATAAAGATAATAATAATACTTATTATTATTATATTTATTATTATTTTAATAATAATAATAAACATAATTACACGCGCAGGCATCACGCAAAACTTCGATACTGGAAGCTGAGTTGGAAAAAGCTGAAGAACGGGCTGAAACCGCTGAGAGGTAAGAATGATGATGATGACGAAAATGACGATGGTGAAGATGACGACGATGATGGTGAAGATGACGACGATGATGGGGAAGATGACGACGATGATGGTGAAGATGACGACGATGATGGTGAAGATGACGACGATGATGGTGAAGATGACGATGATGATGGTGAAGATGACGACGATGATGGTGAAGATGACGACGATGATGGTGAAGATGACGATGATGATGGTGAAGATGACGATGATGGTGAAGATGACGATGATGGTGAAGATGACGATGACGATGATGATGATGGTGGTTATCAAGCGGACCGTTATTTTTTTTTTATTCAAACATATCTCTTCAT